TATATATATATATATATATATATATATATTTTAATATATATATATATATATATATATATATATATATATGTTATCGAGATTTTATATATATATATATATATATTACTAAAATCTCGTTGGTTTTGACAAGAAAATATAGAAAGATCTTTGAAGCAAAGGTATTCGTGCGTTAACACATCTGACTACATTATATGGCTTCTTTTTTTTTCTTTCTACATTCTACTATTTACGCCAAATTCTTGTGATGTCCTCTAGATTCAAGATTGTGCTACGTGGATTTTGCACATCAAAAGTTTATTTTGTGATACCTGCGACATGAGAGCATGTCAGTAAATAGCAAAAAAAAAAAAAAATATCAAAATCGGTTTAAATTAATTGCAAAACTTTTAATATTCAAAAGTGTGATTTAATAGGAAATTTCACACCAGTCACACCTATTGGTTTTTGCTGGGATCAAGTGACAACAAATTACGAATTTGTGTGTGTGACAAATCATGCTGGATTTAATGTTACTCCAGATTATCAAGGAAGCTAGTTAGAGGATTGTCATGTTTTAAACCTGGCCGCCGTATAGAGAAACATCTGACCACTCACTTGCATCAGGTTTTGCAAGCGTGGGAAATATTTATAATATACGGTTGAGAAGTTCAAACTTCAAAACCTCACAACACGAAACCTCTCACTCTGATATATATATATATATATATATATATATATATATATATATATATATATATATATGTGTGTGTGTGTGTGTGTGTGTGTGTGTATATATATGTATATATATGTGCGTGTGTGTATATATATGTATAAAAGTGTGTATATATATATATATATATATATATATGTGTGTATATATATGCATATAAGTATGTGTATATATATATATATGTATATATATGTGTGTGTAATATATATGTATATATGCATATATATATATATATATATGCGTGTGTGTATATATATATATATATGTATGTAAGTGTGTATATATGTAGATATATACGTATATAGATACATGTATATATATATTTATATTTATACGGATATATATATATGTGTATATATAAATATGTATATATATATGTATATATAAATATATATATATATGTATATATATTTGTATGTATATATATGTATCTATATTTGTATGTATATTTTGTGTATATATATATATATATATATATATATATATATGCAGGTATGTATTTATACATATATTTATGTATATATCTGTATGTATATATATATATATATATATATATATATATGTGTGTGTGTGTGTGTGTGTATGTATGTATGTATTCATGAGTGCATATATATATATATATATATATATATATATATATATATATATATATATATAATCCGCTAATCGATGATGCTTTTACAACGTCGTGCATCGAACCTCGATGGAGATTTATTTGAACTGCATTTAGCATCCTTTACATTTAACCTAGTATGTGTTTCTGAGAGAATATGAAGTCCTACCAGGATTCATAATTGTTGGCTACAACCTTAACAACATAAGATGTGCAGATGGTACCTTGTTGATAGAAGACACGGAAAGGAAATTACACGAACTTCTGAAGGATGTCGTGTAGGAAAACGAGAAGACAGGTCTCCACATAAATTGCCAGAAAACAATCTATAGTTATCATGAAAGTAACAACTCTACATGTCAAATACAAATTGGAAATACCAAAATCATGCTAGTACAAAAATTTAAATATCTGGCAAGTATTTTAGCAAAAGATGTAAACTGCGTCACCGAGAACCGAAGTTGCTTTAAGATAGTGAATGATGTATTCCAAAAGCTAAACAACGTATAAACCAACAGAAAAAAAAAATCATTAGAAACGAAGGAAAGAGTACTGAACTGTTTTATAATATCAGTTCTCCTATATGGCAGGGAATGCTGTACAATCTACTCACAGATGAACGAAAGACTTGAGGAAACTTAAACGAGTTTCTATACAAGAATGTTGAGAATACTATGTACTGAACACGTGAACAATGACGAAATTTTAAAGGAAATGGGAAAAAAAAATGACGCCTATTCTTAACACCGGAAAGAGAATGTTCTAGTTCTACGTGCCATACCTCTTCCAGATGTTCCACAAAGAGACATAGCATGTGGGACTAGAACAATCTACCTCGGTGGACGAAATAAAGGATTCACTTCGAAATTCAAATCACCTGAATATATACATACATACATATATATATATATATATATATATATATATATATATATATATATATATATATATATATACAACAGCCGAAGCGTTGTGAATATGGCAACGAACATGAGAATAACAGTCCGAATAATGTAAATAATGCAAGTAATCATAATACCACATCTCAGAGATATAGACAGAGATCAGAAAATTTGAAATTTATATAGAGCACGTAATGAGGAGACTTCACAGGACAAGTTGAAGGCAAAGTGGACAACGCCTGACCAACCTAATGAGCTTGTTTAAATGGATGGCAGGAAAAGCGTTTTGTAGAAATAGCAAAAGGACACTTGCTAAGAGCTACAAAGAACAGCAAATTGTGGAGAACTATGATTGCCAAAATCCTGAAGGGACATGGCACATAGTCGAAATTGTTATGTCATGATTTTATAAAGTAAATCAAAACAAAAAATGCGTTTTTTTTTTGTGTGTTTTTTTTTCTTTTTTGTGAGCTGCATTTAGAAAAAGAAAGAAAAATCAGGAATCAAATGGAAAAAAAATCACTCTCACGGAGATATACAAAAATAACATCATCTTGTAAACATGATCTTTGCTGGTTTAGTAAAATGCTTAGTCCAATGAAGAATCGGTAATGAGGCAGAAGTTTCTATAATCCTTACTTAAATTAAGGGATTTAATGTCGGGAAATAACATTACGTTGTCTTATATGAGTTCTGGCAAAAAAAAACTATCAGGTCTGGTGCTATAAAAAGAAAACTACAACATATATCAATTCGATATTTAATCTCCTTCGAATTAGTCCCTTTCTAAAGCCGAATATTCAGGCCGAGAGACGAAAATAAATAAATGTAGTGTTTAATAAATAAATGGAGCGTCTACTCAAATATGGGTACCCACTAAAAATAATGTTTAAAGTGATAAAAATATGTCAGATTGATAAATAAAATCCATATACGAAGTAAATATGTGTAAATCATAAGACATACTGGCATTTATAAAACGAAGTCGTCAGTGACACAAGGTAAATTTGTGGTACTTTTTAAGGAAGGAACTTCGAAAGATTGCGCGAATGTCACATCAACAAATTACGATAAATGCATTGTACGTCTGTAACTCTGAGCAGGACTTTGCGAACGAGATTAGCTAGCCGTTCTCGCAGAAGGGAATACTCGGGAAACGAGAGTAGTCGGCCATTATACATATGTTAGATGTTCACTGACTTTGATTCCATTCTGAGTTTCGCCGAATTAAATCCATTATTCAAGAGACTTGAGTTTAAAATTTTGCAATCAAATTTCCCGAAGTTTGAATCTAATTCCGCGCAACTCAGAGTAGAGACATGATAAATGAACACTTAATTTTATGTTATGCTTAATACTGCATCAATTAGGGAACCTCGAGGCGGTGTAATGGTTACAAAGCTTGTCTCGCTAGAACAATTACAACTGAGTCGTGAATTCGAACCTCACTGGGTGCCCTATACTTTCGGCCTTGTGCAACATCGTAGTCAACCATTTCTTTTTCTTTTTTTTTTTTTTAAAGAAATACAATATTTGTTGCTGTTATATCACATCTAGTATGAAGATGACTCGAAACTGACAGTGTCCACAGGGCCGTAGCAGCCGGGGCGGGGGTCTTGGCTGCCCCCAAATTTTTACCAATTGCAGTATGTTTTATCGAGGCGAACGATGATGGACATTTCCCATTATTATGTGGGTGCGTTTCTATTTTAATTTAATAGAAACTGCAACATCGAAGTTTCCTATTTTGGAAATTTTCAAGACACGATCTTCACGAAAACACGCAGTATTCGAAAACAGACGGGGCAATAACTTAAAAAGTTCTTCTTGTAGTTGTTTTACTGTTTTCTAGATCCAAATAAAAAAAAACTAAATAAGTTTTTTTTTCTTTCCTTATTGAAGGTATAATTAATTTGTAGACCCCCCAACACCAAAAAAGAAAACTTCTTTCATTTGGAACACAGACGATTCTCGATTATTTCAAAGATGATTTCTACCAATCTAGAGGTACTGGAAATTTTAAACGTTCTTGCCGCTAACCATGCTGGCGGGTTTGATAACTTAAGGCTAAATCCTAATTCTACCCCCCCCTAAAAAAAAACATTTGTCTAAGCTACAGCTCTGTCAACGCAGATTTTAATTCGTTGTCTACACACGCTCTACCTCTGATAATGAGAACTTTTAAATAATAGAAAGTTTTAATCAATTATGTGTAACTAACTGTAAGTGTGTAAATTACTCTCTCGAGTAGTTTGTAACACATTTATCATCTTTCAGTTGCGTCTTTGGGTAGAGTGCGCTGAGGGGTGGCACCGTCAAAGGACAGAGTCGCAACTGATGAAAATTATACTGAGAAATGCCCAGCCCTGGGGAAACTCTGCCTGAGGCCGCGCCCTCTCATTGCGCCAGAGAGAGGGATCGGTGCACGCACCGAGGCCAGCGCAACCGACGGTTGCGGGGGCTCGGGAATTTTTGTTCCTAGCCCGGGTGTACGCGCTCGGGCTCCTCACATTGACCTCGTGGGGGTTTGTGTAAATACAAACTTATAAGTAAATGTATGAATACGACATGCTTGGGGATGTTTTCTAAAATGTGTGCTTCGTCAAGTAAATAATTTTAAGGGACAAAAAAAAAAAAAACAAAGTAAACATTTTCTTTTTATTTAATGTCTCAAATATCAATCGTATAAAGATTTACTTTTTTGTCATTCATGCAGCGTCTTTTGCATGTATCATCCATGAACTCTACTCTCGTGGATGTGAATACTAAACACGATATGGGTCAAAATTAATACAAACTATTTATATGCAATTAATTATGTTCGTTCGCCCAACGATATTCTTCACACCTATGCAAGGACTGTATACACTCACCCGTCCCCTGTTCATCGATTTACATATTTGTAAGCACACACTCATTATGCGAACTGGATTAACAGTTTTCAAACTTGTATAGTCTGCGCATGCACACTCATTACACACGGACATATAAACTCGACGCATGTCAAGGCGCACGGAAGTCAGTCGACCAATGGAAAAACTGAATTAAAATCAATAAAAGTAAATTTGAAATTCCTCACCCACTTTCATTTAACTTTTCTCTTTTATTTTTCTTCATTTTTTTTTTTCAATCTTTTCATCTTTCAACTTTTTCAACTTCTCCTTTAGGCGTATGATTTTTTTTTTTATTTCCTTCCATAATTTTATCTTCGCTTTCTTGGTCTTGATATTTTAGCGATTCATTTTATATATATATATATATATATATATATATTTTCATTTTCTCTTCTCTTTTTTCTTTATTGCTTTATTTTATTACTTTCTTTATATATATATATATATATATATATATATATATATATATATATATATATATATATATTTATATAGATTCCAACAAAAATTTCGCTTGAAGATGGAACGGAGCCCATTTTACTTTCAACTCAATTTAATTCAAAGGATTATATTGAAGTTTTCGGCTCTTGTTTTGAAACATGAGACCTCTTATGTAGCGATTTGGAATCATATTTTAAAATAGATATATATATATATATATATATATATATATATATATATATATATATATATATATATAGTTTTCCTATCTTTTCAAGTTTATTTTATTTTCTTTACTTTTCGTGACGGTTTGAGATTTTCTTCTACGGATGCTACTATCTTTACGAATAACAAAAAAAAAACAATAAAGAAAAGTTTCTTCATTCACTTTATCCTCTTATTTTTGTTTTTTTTTTTTAGTACGTTATATTAAAAACTACTGTTTCTATATATTTATTTTTCATCTTATACCTTCCCGCCTTTTTCGGCCACCAATTTCCATAGAGCAACCCTATTCACCTGTATGTTTCTTGCGCTGTTCTAATATTGTTTCATCATAAGTCTCTTGTACTTCTTCTATGACATTACATTTATTATTTCTCCATCACCTGCACTCTTAGTATTGTCATCTGTACTTTTATTTTGTATTTTTCTGTTTTTAAAATTTCCATTCTATTCTTATCGGTTTTTAAAAGTGTTGTTTGCTTCGTTTGAACTTCTTTTTTTTTCTTTGTTAAATAATGAGGAAATTCTTTGAAATGAAGAAAGAAAGTATTTTTTTGTTATTTTTTTAAAATATTTATTTACGTAATTTCAAATTCTCTATTCGCGTGAGTCGTTTTACTATTTTCCAATTATTTCCTTTTCCAGAAATCGTCTTTTCACTCTTTAACTCTTTCGCATTTTATATTCTCTCTCCTTTCATTTTATCCCTGCTCACTCTCTCTTATTCTTTTTCTCTCTTTCTCTCTCTCTTTTCCTCATTCTCTCTCTCTCTCTCTCTCTCTCTCTCTCTCTCACCGAACTTTTTCTGCTCTTTACATTTATCTCTTTCCCTACTTTGTGTCTCACTGTCTTTTTTGTGTCAAAACATGTCCCACTTCCCCCCACCCCCTTAACCCTCGAAAAAACATTACTTAATTATACTTTTAATGTTCATCAAAATTTTCTATTTTGAATCCACCATTACTTCCCCACCCCATTCTGTTCTTTCTTAAAGAACCTTTTTGTTCGTCACTTTCTTTTTTTTTTTCTTCTTTAGTTTCTCTCTTTAGTTTACGTACAGAGCTACATCGTATCTCGAACATCTGTCGTGTCGAACAAATCGGTTTTCGAACAGAATATTCGAATTGAAAATGCTTCAGTTATCAAACAAAATTTCGGTTCTCGAACAACATTGCTGAAACGAGTCGAACCGAGTTATCCCGAAGGGAATTGACCGCCATGTTGAATACATTCGTGTGTTGTTCTGTGCTTTTCTTTTCCAATTTTATTGTACTCTGCCTTTTCTCTCTTTATTAGTCCATGGATCAAAAAAAAAAAAAAGAAAAAAAAGAAAAAAAAAGCTAGCAGTGATATTAGTAAAGAAAAAAGAAAAGTCAAGAGAATGAGAATTGTTGATGATATTGTCTCTTCCTATTCAGTTTCATATGGCAAAATCAACGATTTATATTATTCTTATAAATAAAGACACAATCATGTCTTTCCTTCCCTTTTCCAAACAATATCATTTCTTTCCTTCCCCTTCCACTTACACCATATATTCTCTTACATTACAGGTACGGTAAAATTGAAGTTTTCGTCTATATTTTATCTGTTTAGTATTGGTTATATTTTTTTCTTAGATTTAATGATTTTCATTAGTGTTGTGCATAAACTTGTGCACAAAGTACAGTCGTTAAAGTTTAAATAAGCAATCATCTTGGGACCCCGAACGAATTAATCCATTTTACATTGATTCCTATTGGAAAAATAGTTTCGGTTTACGAACATTTCGAGTTACGAACGGGCTTCAGGAACAAATTAAATTCGTGAACCGAGGTTCCACCCTACTTGATTTCCTTTGCCCTCTTCGAAATTGCTATCTCGACCGCATATTTTGAATCCACCATTCCACTTTTCCGCTGTTATTCTCTTAATCTCTGTACTTTTACTCTTACATTTTCTACGATATTCTATAACGTATTTTTCTGTTGTAATTCTTGACCTAAGTCCGCATTCATGCGTCACTTGTATAAGTCCTTACCTGAATATCAAGCACAATAATTAATATGCATGTACTTTGAAAATCATGGGAGATAAAAAGAAATTTATCGTTATAATAATCAAATAGATTTCTATAATGCTGTAAAAATAATTAATAAAAATTTAAATTAAACAAAAGAATTAAATATACTCATAATTTTGATAAACATTCTATTTAATGTAACACTGAGCAGAAAACATTAAACTCTAAAAATGTTGCGATGTTTTTGTAAATCAGAAATGTCCCACGAAACATTGTTTTGCATAAAAGACAGCTTACAATATAATACGCCAAAATGTTTTGTTTGCAATATCTAACATTATACTCTGAGTTATTTCCCTTGCCCTGAATATCAATCTATCTTTCTTTGCATACAAGAGCGGGGGGTGCTCAAAAGTTCTCGGGTTGGCCAATTTTCCAGAATTATGTTTCCAAACATCAGGAGAAATGATGTTCCAAATACCGAAAAGCTTTATGAATATCATATCTCATGATTCTCAGCCTATTTTTTTTTTTTTTTTTTTTTTGTAGAAGGGATGCTCTGAAAATAATACTTCCTATTTATTTCTAGAAAAACGACAAAACATACTCATAGTTTAATAACGGCTTTAGATAAATAAAACACGTTTTCAGAGGCAAACAACTTCTTTCAAATATTCATGCATTTTCAGCTGCATACCGTGATTTTGAACAAGTCAGGTCAAAGGCCTCACAAATGGCAACGCTGAAACGCATTACACATCCACTGTTTGGTCACCAGTAAACGATCAGAAAGTGTCGATGAGTGATAGTTGGTGTTTTTTCCAGGATGGAAGAAGTCTAATATTTTATATTTGTTTTTTGCACATTTTCGTGTCGGATGAGATTTTAGCAATACTCGGCTTCTGTCTATAACAAAGTAAAAAAAAAGGCCCAGGTTACAACGCTACTCTCTCCAAACCAACAGCATCTATCTCTAAAGTTACGAACCAATAAAACAGGAGGCATTCATGGGTGCGTGTGTGCAGATATACATACGCACATATTATATATCTCTTATTTCCCACTTCTAGCTTGTGGAAATTCTTTCCGGCTCCATGCTTTCCAGACAACTTTAATTTGCAAAAATTTAAATGCAATGTCAATCGCTAACTACTGTCCTCCTGATTACACTTTTCTCATTACTAATGTTTCTGTTCCTAATTCCTCCACACCCTGTAGATCTCTGCGTGCTAGTAACTGCACTACTTTGCTTGGGGCGATACCGATTAACACACACACACACACACACACACACACACACACACACACACACACACACATACATATATATATATGTGTGTGTGTGTGTGTAAAAATTAGTGCAAAAATAATGACGTAATAATGTCGGTTTTGACGTTAAAAAATACGCCAAAAAACGACATTATTACGTCATTATTTTGCACCAACTAATATATATGAGAGAGAAAGAGGGATACATACATACAAGCAGTTAGGACAGAGAGATCAACACGGTGATAGTCGGTTTTCTGGTTTAACGCAGACTTCATGGTCTGAAAATTGTATTCAAGCATGAACACTCTGTCATAATTTGGTGTTGATCTGTGTCATCACTTTTTGTATTTATATACGCTCTACTTCGGATAGATACTGAGTACTCTTGCCATAGGAATATCAGTCAGTTAATTGGCATACGTGATACGCGCTTGGGTGATCAAGTTATCTTTCGATACATGACTGAAACGGCAGAATTGTTTTCCCGTAGTAGATTGCCATTTCTTTCTGCGATAGAACAGTTGGTATCTAAAGCTATAGAACACAGCCTGTCCTGTAATTCATGGATTCATACCTTTTTTTTGTATTTGTGCGTAAGTGAATCTACGGAACTCAACTGCTTCGCTCTGAATTTTACATTGAGCTCTCGGATATCATCCTCCTTGGGTCTACTTATGCGGATTACCTAGTTTTGCATAAATATATATATATATATATATATATATATATATATATATATATATTTATGCAAAACTAGGTAATCTGCATATATATATATATATATATATATATATACGTGGGGGTGTTTGTGAGGTGGCACGGGGGGTAGTGGATAACGGCTTGTATTGATAGCCAAGTTCGAATTCCAGTCGAATCCATTCCACTCACTTACGTGCTAATACCATTGGGAAAGGTAATAATCTTCTTCTTCTCCCTCCAGCT